CACACATGCAGGCAATACACTAATATTTTATTTATTATTTTTATTTTACGTGTATGAGTGTATTGCCTGCATGTGTGTAAGTGCACCCGTGTCGTGCAATGCCCTTGGAGGTCAGAAGAAGGTGTCAAATCCCCTGGAACTGTAGTTACAGAAGGTTGTTAACTGCCATTTGGGTGCTGGGAACTGAACCTGGGTCCTCTGCAAGAGCAGTCAGTGATCTTGAATGCTGAGCCATCTCTCCAGCGCCTCTGTCTATGTTGTTGCTGGAACCTGAAACCCAAATAGTCCTTCATGTTGCTGAAGATAGCTTTTAGGTTCCTCTGTAAGTCACCTCTACCCAGTCCCTCAATGAGGAGTGTCATCCTGATTGCACTTTTCTAACATCCACGAAACCCTGGGTTCAATCTACAGCACCCCAAAAAACTAAGTGTGGTAGTGCACACTTACATTTGGGAAGTAGATGAGAAACCTTATTGTACTCTTTGGAGTGCTTCGTTATGATAAACTGGGGCTTTATAACTCCAAGTGAGGTGGTAGGGGGCTTCAGGAGGATCAGAAGTTCAAGGTCATCCTTAGCTACATAGTGAGTTTGAAGACAACCTGGGCTACATGAGACCTCATCCCTGCCCCCACCCAAAAAGGATAGGACTCCTGCTAGATCTGGGTTCTCAGCTACGGCCACTGTCACTCTGTGGTCTGGGACACTGCACTTCTCTCCTGTGGTCTCAGAACTCTCAGGCTAACACATTACTGTATTTGGCAAAGAGTGAGCTTCCAGGAACTCAAGGGGGTGGAGAAAAAGCAGTGGAGAGAGGTGGGAGGGGGTGCTGTCAAAAGGTAAATGGACCAGAGGGAGATCAGATAAATGAGTTGTGGCCTGGCCAGCACAGCCCTGTGGTGACATTCCACAGCCCTTTCTTGGGATCATGATTTAAGGGCAGAAAGCTGTAGGAGCCTGCCCTGGAGCTTTCAGAATTTATTTAGGCTATTATTTGCATTTGGTTGACTTTTCAGACTTAGAATTTTCTTTTTTTCCAGGCTGTTGCCCAAGAACCTTAAACTTCTGATGAGAAAGGTTGCTGTGCTCTTTGGTGTGTTTTGTTGTGATAAGCTGTGGCTTTATAACCTCAGTTCTGATGTAAAGAGGGTGGGTGGGGGGCAAAGCCCTGCAGTCTGATGGAGATAGTTGCTAAGAAATCACTCCTGTCCTGTAGATCAGGAGCCACACCAGCTATCACCGCCAAAGCCAAGGGACAGGGAGAGATCAGGTTTAAAAACCTGCTATGTGACCTTTTCCAAATACTTTAATCTCTCTTTCTGCAGATAGGAAGTGTTTGACATGGGCTCCACTGCCTTAAATTATCTGAGTTCTGATTTGTCTGGTAGAGAAAACAGTGGTGGTAGGTGTAGGTCACAATGAAGGGAACACAGGTCTATACTGTCAGAATGGCTATTTTCTTGTTTTTATTTTTAATGTTTTATTAATTTGTTTGTGTGTGTGTGTGTGTGTATGCACACCTGTGCCACAGTGTACATGTGGAGGTCAGAGAATGACTTTCAGGAGTCAGTTTTCTCCTTTTACCTTGTTTCTGAGGCAAGGTCTCTCTTGTTTCTGCCATGCTGTGTGCTCTAGACTAGCTGGTCTGCAAGGTTACAGACAGCTCTTCTTTCTCCAGCTCCCATTTTGCTGTAGGAATGCTGGGATTCCAGATGCATGCCACCACATCTGGCTTTTTATGTGGGTTCCAAGAATCCAGCTCAGGTTGTCACACTTATGCAGGAAGTGCTTTTGCCCACTCAGGCATCGTGAGTTAGGGTCTCACACTATAAGTTAGAATTCAATATGTATCCCAGGTTAGCTTTAAACTTGTGACAATCCTTCTGCCTCAGTCTTCTAAGTGCTGGATTAGAGATATGAGCCTCTATGCCTGACAAGTTTTAATTATCTTTTCAAAATTTATTTTTCAAATCAGCACTTAAAGCGATGGGTTTCATATGGTTTTTTTTTTTTTTTTTTTTTTTTTTTTTTTTTTTTTTAAACAGGGTCCTCGATTTTTTTTTTTAGACAGGGTCTCCCTGTAGCCCCAGCTGACCTGGAACTCATTAAGTAGAACAGGCTGGCCTTGAATTCACAGTGATCCACCTACCACTGCCTCCCTAGTGCTGGGATTAAAGGTGTGCACCACTGTTAGCCCACAGACTTGAGAACCAAGAGGCAAAGAGCTTGGGGAGGTCAGAAATGTCAGGGAGATCATTTGAACCCCTTAGGGGAAAGAAATACTAAGGTTCAGAGAGCACACAGTGTTTTAGAAAACAGAGACCAGGGGCTGGAGAGATGGCTCAGCAGTTAAGAACACTGACCCTTCTTGCAGAAGACCCGGGTTCGAATCCCAGCACCCACATGGCAGCTAACAACTGTCTGTAACTCTAGTTCCAGAGAATCCAACAGCCTCTTCTGTCCTCCTTGGGCATTGAACAACATGGGTGCACTTACCTACATGCAGGCAATACACACATACACATAAAATAAAAATAATAAATAAAATATTAAAAAAGGAAAACAAAGACCAGAGACAGGTACATCAGGTTCAGAGGAAAATCAGAGATGGTCTTTCCCACCAGCAATGCTAACATTTCAGTCCAACACAGTATTCCCAGCCTGCCCCATCCTTCTTCTCCCCAAACCAACATTGCTGCACAGTACTTAACAAAGCAAGCCTTTTACAGAGAAAATGACCTTAAATCAAAAAGAGTAGGAACAAGACACTTGGCATTAATGGTAATAATAACCAGACTCTTGTGAAGGACTAAAATATTGCTCCTTTAGTCACTGATTATTATGGGAATTCATACTTTTCAAACTCAATATCAAGCCCTTCTGGAATCTGCTGTCAAGGATTTTCTGCCGCCGCCAAGTAGGCCAGGGAAAAGGAACAGGAGTTGTGCCTCACACGTTTCTTCTCTCACCAGGAAAGTGAAGTTCTCAGTGGTCTTCTTTGTCTTTTTAATTTTTAAAAAAGATTGAAAAAATGTTTTTAAAAATTATTTATTATTTTTATTTTATGTGTATGGGTGTTTTGCCTGCATGTAGGTAGGTGCCCTGTGTCGTGCAATGCCCGCGGAGGTCAGAAGAGCCTGTTGGATCCCCTGGAATTAGAGTTAAGGACAGTTGTTAAATGACACATGGGTGCTGGGAATTGATCGCAGGTCTTCTGCAAGAACAACTAGTGCTCTTAACTGCTAAGCCATCTCTCCAGCCCCTGAAAAAATGTTTTTAAAATAATTATGTGTAGTGTGTGTGCTTATGAGCAGGTATGTGCATGTGAATTTGGGTGACTGAGGAGGCCAGAAGAGGTTGTTGGATTCCTTGGAGCTGGAGTTACAGGAGGTTGTAAACACTTGACATGGGTGCTGGGAACCTAACTTGGGTCCTCTGCAAGAGCAGTATGCATCCTTAACTCCATCCATCCACCCATCCATCCCATCTATCCATCCATTCACCCACCCAGCCACCCATTCACCCATCCATCCATCCACTGATCCACCCATCAATCCATCCCATCTACCCTTCCATTCATCCATCTACCCTTCCCAGGGAGAAGGAAGTCTAAGGGAGGAAGCTCATGCATCCCAGAGAAGGGAAGCTGAAAGGATAATTTATCCTGGTAAGGCCTTGGGACCTCAGGAAATGTCTGGGTGCCTTCCTACAAGGCCTTTCAAAACTAATCTCACATGCAAGTTAAGAAGGATCTAGGGGAGGAAGGATGGGCTTGCTGGACCTGTTCATGTGTGTGAAGGCTAACACTGCCACAGTGTAGGAAGACCAGAATGGGTAGTTAGAAACCAGATCAATCATTGAGCCAACATACAGATGCACAGAGATAAAAGAGGCTAACTGAATAGAATGAATAATATTGATATAAGTCAAAGTTATGGTGTATCAATTTGAGGCAAACTTTGACAGACTTATAAAGATTAAAAAATATTTTTGGCTGGTATGGGGCAGGGATTACTTAGGAAAATACAGCTTGTGGGACAAATACAGCCCACTGACCTAGTTCTAAAAATACTGTTCATTGATCCATCCATCTATCCATCCATTCGTTCATTGACCCATCCGTCTATCCATCCACCCATTCATTGACCCATCCATCCATCCATCCATCCATCCATTACTTTGGCTGCTTTTGTGATACCATGGCAGTGGTGAGTAATTACAGCAGATATCACATGGTATACAAAGCCTGAAATATTCAAAAATATCTGAAAAAATTGCAAATCTGTGACATAGAGGAAAGAAGACACTGTTCCAATTTCTGGAGACATAGCTTTGGATCCATAGTTGCTTTCATAATCTACTTTTCAAAGTCTTAAACAGAACATGGTAGCCCATGGCTGTAATCTCAACACCCAGGAGATGAGGTACAGGATTGCTGTGAGTTTGAGGTCAGTGTAGGCTACAGAGGTAGACCCGGCTCAAAAAACAAAAACGAAAACAAAAATGACTTCATTTCTCACCCGTGAAATGGGCTATATTACATGTGCCAACTGCCCACTTAACTGATTGAGGGACGACGAAGAATAAAATGAATGTGAAAATGTATACTGCATGCTAAGGACTTATGCAAAGACCAAGTATTATTAGAGCTTTTTCTAAGTAGTAGGGGGAGAAAAGACAGTTGTTTTTTAAACAACAAAACAAAAAAACCAAAGACACAAAGGAGGGGGACTTGTAAGGAAGAAGAAGGTTCTGGAGGAGTGGTAAGGGGATGGAGAGGGTAAAATACATTATGTACATGTATGGAACTGACAAAGCAAAAAAAGAAAGTACTTTTTTTTCCCCCTCAGTAGATGTCAAGAGGAAATAAATAACAACTGTGAAAAGCCCAGGTAGGTGTTTATTTGTGTCGGCTAATACATAGTTTTGAGACAAGCTAAGCTGGGTTATTAAAATGAAAGGGGAAAAAAGAAAAGCCACAGTCATTTTGAGAAGGGGTTGAGGCCATTTGTAAGCATGGGGTCTAGTGTGTGCGTGTGTGGCAGGCAAGGGGAGTGCAGGTACAGTCTGAGGGGACGCTTACCCCCTCAGGAGCCACCGAGCAGAGCTCAAAGAAGGGAAAAAACAGGAAATATCACACAGGATGCTTTCATACGGTTGTTCAGTGTTGAACTGAAATTCAAGTCTAGCTAGGCATCCTGTATTTTTATTTGCTATACCCAGTCCTAGGGTGGACTAACATAGGCCCCTTGATCACATAGTTTGGCCAGATTCTGGATTCTGAAATGAAATCTTAAGCAGAGACAAATTAGGTTGGGAGGCAGGTGGAGCTGATTGTCTGATGGCAATGTTCTAGAAAGATCTTCAGAGCTGCCCTGCACTGTCTTTTCCAAAGCCTGACTTTTTTTGAATTCTGGATTGTGTCTTTTCTCCGCCCCTTTCCTTCCTTCCCCTCCCCTCCCCTTCGTCTCTTTTTCCCTCTTACCTCGCCTTTCTCGCTCTTTTCTTTCTGTTCTGAGGCTCAAACCCCGGGTTTTGTAAGACGCGTTGTGTCTTCCACAGAATTGAAGTTCTCTCACGCGAGGATGGAAGCTCCTAAGACTTGGAGAGCTCACAAAACTTAAAAGGCTCAGGAACTCCCTCCCCAAGGCTACAAAAGCAAGACACAATTGCTGGGGGAGGGAGAGGAGACCGTTCCACCGAGTTGGGTAGGGAGCTGAAGGGATACAGCTTTCATGAATTGTTACTTGTACTGGGGTGGGCTTTTTGGTGATGTAGATTCTTTTCAGTCACTTATACTCTGCCTGTAGATAACCACAAGAAATCCACTGATTCCCCAAACTGGGTGAACTCATTTCTTTGCTGTGCTGTCAGCACCCTACCTGGGAACAAATAGATGTTTGTTCCTGTCTTCCCAGGCAAAGTCACAAAGCAACAGCGAGGCAAGTGCACTGAGCTACATCGCTAGCCCTTGCTTTTTTTGTTTTCCTTTTTTTTTTTTCCTTAGTCAGGATCTTAACGTGTAGCTTAGGCTGGCCTTGAACTTGTGATCCACCTGCATCTGCTTTCTGAGTTCTGGGACTACAGACATGTGCCACCATGCCAGGCTTAGATGGTGCCTCTTATTACCAATCTATCACTTCTGTTCTTTAAGTTAGTCAGAACTGGGCTTCTGTTGCTTGTGATCAAAGAATACTAACCAGTATGTAGGATGACACCCAAGCAATGTCCAATAAAATGTGAGGATGGAGGACTGAAGAGATGGCTCCCAGTTTAAGGACACTGCTGCTCTTGCAGAGGATTCAGGTTCAGGTCCCAGTACTCCCATGGGAGCTCACAACTGTCTGTAATTTCAGTTCCAGGGTATCTGATTGTCCTCATCTCTGTGGGCACTACGCATACGTGGTGTACTTACATACATGCAGGCAAAACACTCATACATATAAAATAAAAATGAATGAAATCTAAAATAAAAGTGAGGGATGGGGCTGTGGTGGACAGAGTGAGGGGGAGATGAGGCAGGGAAGGGCTGTGTGAATGAGGACCTGGCCAGGCAGAAAGGGGGAATGGGAGTTCTCAGGACCTGGAATCTGGTGAGCTGTTTGCATCTATTGTAACAGAGAGCCATAGGGAACGATTGAAGGCTCTTGAATAGGTGGAGGATTGATAGCAACGGCATTTGATTTTTAAATTATTTATTGTTTGTTTTTGTGTTTGTGTGTGGTGCTTGTACGTATTTGTGTATGTAGTCAGGTGTGTGGGTGGGTGTGTATGCATATGTGTGTGCATGCATGTAGAGGCTGGAGGCATCTTCCTCAACTGCTTTCCACCTTATTTTTTGAAACAGGGCCTCTCATTGAACCTGGAGCTCATCAATTTGGCTAGGCTGGCTGGCCAATGAGCCCCAGGGATCTGCCTGTCTTTCTACCCCTCCCAGTGTGGGGGCTACTACACATCCATGCCCACTGCTGTACCTGTCTTTTATGTGGGTGCTGGGGAATCTAGACTCAGGTTTTCAAGTTTGCATGGCAAGTGCTTTACCAACTGAGCCATCTACCCAAGCCCATTAAAATGTGTTTCTGAAGCTGGCATTTTATGCCTTTTGGCAGGGAAGCCGGTGGGGGTGGGGCTGTGCTCAGGGTCCATATGATAGACCAGAGGTCTAGACTGCGATCTGGTTGGGGCAGTGAGATTAGGGGGAAGAGGAAAATGTTGAGAATCAGCTCAAGGAGATTCTTGGATTTAGTGACTTTGTGGTCCAGGGGATCATGCATGAGGGAGCCGGGAAGAGTTCCACTTAGGGCATGAACTGCAGTAACTCAGCCTGGGGGCTGTCATGCCACAGGCTTCCCAGGACCCCTGGCTGCCAGGTGCAGGAGGACAGAGGAGAAGGCACACGAAGCCCATCATTCCAGTTGGCTCGGCTTCTCCACCCCAGGGGAGGGATGTGGTGAGACTGGAGATTGCAACAGAAAGTGACAGGGATGATTAAAGGGATGGAAAATCAGGCCCATGAAGAAAGGTTAACAGGATGGCAGCTATTTAGCCTGGAGAAGAAGGGTGGCATGTAGCAGCTCCCTTCAAGTCAGCTCCGGGTTGTTAGTGGACGCGTGCTAGGCAGCTGCTTCATGTAGCCTCAGATCTCGGGAAGATAGCACCCCAAACTGGCCAGGCACCTCCATGGGGAGGGTGAGGCAAACCTGGAGACAGGCGGAGGCATAATTATAAAGACTCTTTTGTGGTTTCCAAAGGCCCCTCTCCCCTCCCCTTTGTTTTCTGCATCTGTCATTATGCTGCACAAACCACAGCCAGGCCTCTTGACAGTACCAATATCTGCTTTCCTACACACTTGGAAGGTAACGTGGCTATAAAGTTGACAAGTCAGATAAATGCAGTACAAAGGAGAGACTGTGTCTAGCTTTGCAGAGCCTTCTGACTGGCCTCAACCCCAACTTCAATAAATCACCCCATTCCTCCACCCTCTCTGGCTTTCTCTACCCTTCCTGGATTCCTGATCGACAACCCAGCAGTTCACATTTGCTCTGCCTCCCTGTCTTGTCTGTCACTTTGACACCTTGTGAGGCCTTTTGTTCCTTCCCAGGTCAGTGTGTTTCATTTTACTTTTCTTCATTTTGTTTTTCTTTAAAAAATTTTTTGAAATGCCTCTTCCTTTTTGCTTGGTCAAACGTTTACTCTCATGGCCGGGCCACCGTGGCATATACACAGGCCAGCAAGCCACAGCTTCTCCTGGGACAAGAAGAAGGCTCTTGGACCGAGCCTTCTCAGATTCCTGCTAAGGTAACTAAGGGCTCACTCTAAATGTTCCTCATCCTCATCTGAGGCCATGGAAAGGAATACAGCCACTGAAGGAAGTATGCTAAGATACTGGGCAATGGAGGTGGGCGATGATCGGAGAGAAGAGTGGGAGGAAGAGAGAAAAGTCCAGAGTCCTATTTTTTATTTGGTTTTGGGCCTGTCATTAAAGAAGCAATGGTGTCAGCAAACTTCACCTGACACTGGCACTATCTCCTGAGCTAGTGAAGAGAACCAGAGGCCACATTCCCACCTAGAACTTCTTCATGGAGCAGAGAACTTAGACCATTCCATCTGCCTTTATTGCCGTGCCAGAGATCTGTTTGCCATGACAATCCCATCTCAGAAGGGCAAAGGTATCAACATGGATGGAGTAGAGGGCCAGGGAGAGAAACAGGCCAAGCTGCCAGCCACAGAGTCTGGGGCAAGCCAAGCCCCCAAGCAATGCTTTGTGCTCTTCTCCCTGTGGCTCTGGGGACATGCAGAGGGCAGGCCTGGCTTGCATTGTTTCCAGGACTCTGTATTGTTTGGCCTGGGACTGACACCCAACAACCACGGTCTCAGAGCCACCAGACCTGCTCTCCATTCTGCAGTTCTGAATCTCTCCCCAAGCCTGGTGTATATACTACACAGCTCAGCAGGGCACACAATACACCGAGCCACCCTGTAACAATTTATTCCCATCATGCATTGTCAGATAGAACTGGTGGAGCCAAGGAAGAGGCTGTGGAAAGTCTGGGCTTCTAGGACCTGGGCATGCCTCATTTTAATGCAGCTCCACTGTCCCCAACTCTGGCTGCCTGCTGTCCCTGACAGTAACCAGCTTGAGAGGTACTAGCTGGTCTGGCCTGTATTGTACTTTTGTGTGTTTCTGCATCTCTCAATGGTAGTGGTTTTCCTCCTCTTCCTATAAGCACAGGAGCAGCACAGGAGTCCTTGGATTTGCAAAGAGGCGTGGCCATCTCTGTGTTCCATTCTGCTGGAAAACTCAGAACAATTCCTATTATTTTCGGTTCCCAGACCTTGAATGTGTCAGGCTTCAGGTTCACTTCCTACATCTCTCCCGGCGCCCGGATCTGCAAGTAATTTAACCTTGTTTTCATAGAGCCCAAAGACGTTCCGCTTGTTTACACTAGAGACAAATTTTCCTCAATTGATGCAATCCTATTGATGAAATAATGACTTTCTTCCTCATTTAAAGGTAATTTCAGTTGGTGTCATGACGCGCAGGAGAAAGTAAAAGGCTCTTCTGTCCTGCTGTGTGAAGGGCAGGCTGGAGGGCTGGCTCCCACGTACAGCCAGGCCTTCTCCCTGATCTCTCACCTGTTCTCGAGTCTTCACAGGCAGCCCAGGGAGGCTGGTGCCCAGACTTTGAGAGGAGGTTGGCTAAATACAGTCAGTTCTTGATTAGAGAAATTAAAAAGCAGCTTTGGCTGGGTATGAATGCCAAGGTTGGGCAGGGTAGATGCAGTTTGTTTCAACAATGTGCTTGATTTACTTTCAAGATTCTTAACAGTTAATCAGCTAGGAGCTGTACTTAATACTTTTTACCTAAGGTCACATCACATGATAGTCTGGACATGCTATTTGAGCCAAGGATTTAAAATCAAAGGGACAGAGTGCAGTGTCAAAAAGAACGGCAGGGAACAACATGCTGAAACACTTGGATGAGGGGATAGGCAGTCTGGCACTCTGGGTAAGTCCTTAGTTTTCTCTGGGCCTAGTTGTTCATGGGGGAAACAGGGATGGCCTGGCTGGATCCGATGATGTCTAAGACTCTTTATCCTTCAGTTCTGTGATGCAATGAAACCTAGAGACTTCTGTTGATACTTGCTTCCGTACCAGGTCCTTGACTGTGTGTTTTGATGAGGATAAGAGCCCAGGATACCATTTGAGTGGATGGACCTTCTCTTCTGTCGCCTTCTGTGAGGTCAGGACAATGTACTCCGTGTTAGCAATGTTATTTGTATTGGGGTGTGTGTGTTGGAATACACATTATGATTTAAAAATAAATTAGTAGAGGCTGTGGATATAGTTCAATATAGAGCACTTGTTTAGCATGTGCAAGGCCTAAGTCCGGTCCCCAGCACTACAAAAATATTTTTATTTAAAAATTAAACATATTAATTTTTTGAGAATTTCAGACAATGCATTTAAAATATTTTATTTGTTATTTTTATTTTATGTGTATGAGTATATTGCCTGCATGTATGTAAATACACCCATGTCGTGCAATGCCCATGGAGGCCAGAAGAAGGCA